CAATCAATCAATAATACACTGAATGAAAAATTTTTAAAAAGTAAAAGAAAACAAAAAAATTAAGGTGGGGTGCCTGCATGGCTCAGTTGGTTAAGCATCTGACTTTATTTAGCTCAGGTCATGATCTCCTGGTCCATGATTTCGAGCCCTACGTTGGGCTCTGTGCTGACAGCTCAGAGCCTGGGGCCTGCTTCGGATTCTATGTCTCCCTTTCTCTGTCCCTCCCCTGCTCACGCTGTCTCTCTCACTCTCAAAAATGAATAAATGTTAAAAAAAATTTTTTTAAAGGAAAAGAAAAAAATCAAGGGTAAGCTTCTTCTGAATGGTAAATGTAAAGAAGAAAAATCAGAGGAATGGGAAACTAAATGCAAAAGGTTTTAAGTTTATTTATTTTAAGAGAAAGAGAGAGCATGAATAGGGGAGGGGCAGAGAGAGAAGAGAGACAGAATCCCAATCAGGCTCTGCGCTGCCAATGCAGAGCCCAATGCAGGGCACAAACTCAAGAGCCATGAGATCATAACCGGAGCCAAAATCAAGAGCTGGACACTTAATCGACTGAGCCACCCAGGTGGCCCTAAGTGCAAATTTAGAAATAAAAATGTTGGCCTATCCAAGAGATGGTAGGAAAATAGGAAAACAAGATTAGAAAAAGGTATTTGCATCCAAGAAATGCAAACTCATTTCTTAACCTGTTCACCTAAAGTAATTCTTGTTCTTACCATATTTTTCGTTTCAAGTAAAATTGAGCCTTGGATTTTAACAACTTGTTATCCTGGCTATTCTGAGTGCTTGTGTTAATTCACAGCATACCTTCATTACCTAGTCCTACCTTTCTCATTCAGAGTTTTGTTTTTGTTATTGGAGATCACTGCTGTATTCCCAGTCCCCAAAAGCGTCTAGCACAGAAACTGTCAAATGAATAACAACCCTTTGAGGGAGGTATTATTACCATCCTGGTTTTTCAGATGAGGAAATCAAGGCTTAGCAAGGTTGAGTAACTTGCCTAGGGGTTACAAACGACTACCCAGAAACAGACCCGTGCCTGTCTGACCACAAAGTCCTCATTTGTACTTACCCTCACCGGGTAGAGTAACTTCCTAATGTTTCTTGTTTGTGTGTATTTTCTGGTGGCAGCTTTATCTTAGGGGAAGCTTTAACTTCTCCATCAACCTATTCGCAGGCATCTTCAACCTCTGATCCCCCACTAAGGTCTTCTGTACGTCTCTCCTGCCTGTGTGCTGTGTCCTCTCCAGAGTTCTATTATAACATCACTTGTAGCCCTTTGCTGTATTTCTCCTCTCTCTCTTATCTCAACTCCAAACTTCCTGAGGGCAGGAATCAGGGAACTTCAAGCACCTCTGGCACATGATAGAGTTGAGTAATGTTTGATGTATGAATGAATAATCCTGACAAATCCATGAAATAATAAGGAAGCTCAGTTCCCTAACCACAGGCAACCAGAGACTACTGCTTTCCTTTACTAGGGGGTGGCAAGGTCATGCCTAAAATTCCCTGCCCACACCACAAAGGAGTATCACTGTGCTACACTTAAAACAGCTTTTCAAGTTTTGAGATATCTAATGGAAAAACAATACGGTCCCAGAACTTTAAGAGCTAAGCATAAAATCTATCTCTTAGATGTAGCCTACCTGGATGGAAGTACAGCTCTCGATTTTAAATAACGTTTGACTGTTTCAATCAAATGACTGTTTTCAGTGATTTTGCATATTCTAAGTAATTTTATTTTTATATCTCTTTGGCTTGAAAGTGCAATTTCATACTTCTCCACACATATAAAGACAAAAACTGCTTGTCTTTTACAAAAACTGTGTGTTAGGTAAAAAGGCACTCAATAAATATGTTATTATGCTGCTCTTTGTAAATCCTTCTTCTAAAAACACATGTGGCCTATTTTAGACTAATAAATACTGGGAAACATTTACTAGACAATTTTCATTTAATTGGTATGAATACCAGGCTCAAAATATATCTAAACAAAAACTGTGTTTTTTAAAAATACATAGTATGGTGAGCCTGGGTGGCTCAGTTGGCTAAGCGGCCAACTTCGGCTCACGTCATGATCTCACAGCTTGTGGGTTCGAGCCCCGTGTCAGGCTCTGTGCTGACAGTTTGGAGCCTGGAGCCTGTTTCAGATTCTGTCTCTGTACCTTCCCCGCTCACACTCTCTCTCTCAAAAAAGATAAACAAACACACACACACACACACAAAAAAGAAAAATTTTAAAAATACATGGTATAAGGGGCACCTGGGTGGCTCAGTCAGCTAAGCTTCCGACTTCAGCTCAGGTCATGATCTCACCACTGGTGAGTTTGAGCCCTGCAATCGGGCCCTCTGCCATTAACGCAAAGCTCACTTTGGTTCCTGCCTCCCTCTCTCTCTGCCATTCCCCAGCTTGTGCTTTCTCTCTGTTCCAAAAAAATAAATAAATAAAAATATGTGGTGTAAAGACATGAAATATCTGTCCTTTGCCACTGAGAACTACATAAATAGTACTTTAATATTCTGGCTCTGGGGTGCCTGGGCGTCTCAGTCAGTTGAGCACCAAATATGGCTCAGGTCATGATCTCATGGTTCGTGGGTGAGAGCCTCACATCAGGCTCTCTGCTGACAGCTCAGATCCTGAAGCCTGGTTCGGATCCTGTGTCTTCCTCTCCTTCTGCCCCTCCCACCCCCAAAATAAAATATATAGTAAAAAAAAATTCTGGCTCTAAGAATTTATAACCGGGGCACCTGGGTGGCTTAGTCGGTTGAGCGTCCGACTTTCGCTTAGGTCATGATCTCGCGGTTCGTGGGTTCGAGCCCCGCGTCGGGCTCTGTGCTGACTGCCAGCTCAGAGCCTGGAGCCTGTTTCAGTCTGTGACTCCCTCTCTCTCTGACCCTCCCCTGCTCACCTGTCTCTCTCTCTCTCCTAGAAATAAATTTAAAAAAAAAATTAAAAAAAAAAGAATTTATAACCAAATGCATAGCTAGACCAATTTCAAAGTACACATTTAAAATTACAGATTTTAAAATAAATTTTTTGGAGTGCCTGGATGGCTCAGTCAGTTAAGTGTCCGACTTCGGCTCAGGTCATGATCTTGTGGTTCTTGGGTTCAAGCCCTGCTTTGGGCTCTGTGCTGACAGCTAGCTCAGAGCCTGGAGCCTGTCTTCGGATTCTGTGTCTCCCTCTCTCTCTGACCCTCCCCTGCTCACACTGTCTCTATCTCTCTCAAAAATAAATAAAACATCTTGAAAAAATAAAATTTTTTAAGTTAATTTTACTTATTTTGAGAAACAGAGCACAGGAGGGGCAGAGAGAGAATCCAAAGCAGGCTCCACATTGCCAGCATGGAGCCCAATATGGGGCTAAAACTCACCAACCATGAGATCATGACCTGAGTTGAAATCAAGACTTGACTGCTTAATTGACTGAGCCACCCAGGCACCCCGGTTACATTTTTTTTTTTAAACACCCACTGCCCAAGCCACAGTCTACAATTTTACTCCATTTATTAAACACTAATTTCTGAGAAGTGTCTGGCCCCACCTATAAGTGAGATATAAATAATACTTATAAATAGAATATTATAAAGATGGGACACTGGAATTTCACACTTGGAGAAAATGCAAACTAACATTTCCCCAAATATTTACAAGCAGACTGAGAAAAAAAGTGAAAGTCACTTTGCCAAGCCGGACTTCTGACCTCTCAGTTTCATGACTGGTCTCCCATTCCCCACCAATTCCCTTCTGCCAGGAATATCCTCCTGACTCATCTCTGCCTGCCTATGTCCATTACTTCCTTGGAGACCTGGCTAGAGATTCAGCTCCTTGAAAAAGGCCTCCTTGACTGACTAATCCTGATTTCCACTACTTCTTAACTTTGCATTCCCTTGGCATTTATATATAGTTTGCATTACATAATCAGTAACTTGTAAGTTGTTTTGCATTTTTCTGTCATTTCCCCAACTAGAGACCAAATACAGAAACATCATCTTTTATATCCTCTTCTATATAGCCAGTAATAAATGTTTCTTGAATGACTGAACCACCAGTGAAAGAAAGCCGACTGCTCACAAATTTCCGAAGAAAGTAACTGGCTTTTCAGATCGCATTTACAATACTCTATCACCTCCAATATGCATGGGTCCTTCAAAGAAATGAGATTTAATGCTGCCTTCTGTAAATTCACCGCAAAAGATCCAGGTTATAGATCACTATATACTTAAAGTAAATAACAGTAGAAGCTATTCAAACATATCTTGGGATTTAACATTTCAGGCTTCATTTAAAGCCTTGAAGCAGCATGCCTGTGAACGGTAGGAAGCTGGCACCAGTCTCGTGCAAAAGGGGCAAAACTCTAGTTGGCAGTAAATGTTCAAACACGTGAGCCTCCGCTGTTAAACAAGGCTCATTAGCCACACAAACTTGCTGCTTCAGCTTTCCATCTTCAATGAAGTGCTATGATCTCTTTGGGTTATTGCTGAGAGCCAACAATGGGTTAAATTCCCATAAATTAACCAGTAGCTTTGTCGGTTTGCCCAAGCATACCACTGGCATCGGTGTGGGTGATTTTTTTATTTTAGTATTATTTTTTAAACAGACCCCGGGAGGACAGATGTGAGTGAAGAAGAAAGCGCCAACCGGGCACTTCTCGGGAGGCAACCCGAAACCTCCAGGACTCGAGCCCTTCAGTCTCCCCCTAGTTCTTAGTGTCAGCTTATCGTGCAGAGGCGGGGCTTCAAGCGCTGCTGCTTTTTACTAAATCTCAACCCAGTCTTCCTTGGGGACTGAAAGCCAACTTCTCGTGCAAGGACCATCAGTTTTTCCACACTCAGAGCCCCAGTAAGCGGAGTCCCGACAGAGCCGGGCCACCAGCGCGAGGAAGCGGAGGGGGAGGGAACGGACCCGCTCCGTAAAGAGGCAGGATAGGAGAAACAAAGTGAGCGCCCGCCAGCCCAGCGCCGCCCGCCGCCCCGCCGCCCGTCGGCCCCGCTCACCCTCCAGCAGCACCTCCTTGCCCGCGCGCTTCAGCGCCTGCACGGCCTGGTCGTGGGTGGCCTGGCGCAGGTCGGTGCCGTTCACCGACAGGATGGCGTCGCCCAGCCGCAACGCCCGGCTCTGGTCGGCCGCCAGCCCCGGGAAGATCTTGGAGATGAGGATGGGCATCCGGTTCTCGCGGCCGCCCTTGATGCTGATGCCCAGGCCGCCCGCCTCCTGCTTCACTACCCGCACCCGGCGCACGGGCGGCGACGCGCCCGCCTCGCTCGCCGGGCCCCGAGGCGGCGCGGGCGGGCTCGGGGGACCCAGGCCGCGGCTGGGGCTCCCGGGCAGCGAGTCGCCGGCGCCGCCGCCGTTCGGGAGGCCGTTGAAGGCGGCCGCCGCCGGCCCTAGAGAGGGCTCGGGCTCTGCCGCCGCAGCGTCGCCCGTGAGGCTTAGAGTCTCTCCGCTGAGCTCCGCCACCACCCGGACCCAGCGCTCCCTCAGAAGCAGCTCCACAAGCCCCGCTTTGGTGGCCCGCGTCCACACCGCCATGGCCTGCCCCGCTCCCGCCGCCGCAGTCGCCGCAGCTACCCTCATTCCAGTCAGGCAGCCTCGGCGCTTCCCCCTTCCCGCCCGAGGGGGCGGGCCCGGCCCCCTCCCTCCGGAGGTCATTCATTATTCATGAGAGGCCACGCCCATCGTCCGGAGGGGCGGGGATAGGCGGGCGGAGCCGCTTCCGGAAGGATAAATTGTAGCGCTTAGGCCAGTCTCTTGCAGCTCGCTGGAGGCGGACAGCCCTAGCGCCTTGGGGTTCCATCTCAAGTTCTTCTCCTTCGGTTCGTCTCCGATGGCCACCCCCGAAACTCCTGACCTCCACCGCGTAGTTCAAGGGAGCAGCCCTTGCACGGAAAGCAAAAATAGCTTCAAGAGCACTTTGCAAGTCTGCAAGACTGGGTTGCACGTTCACTCTTGCATTGATTGGTTCATTATGTATTTACTGAGTGCTCAGCCCTGTTCTCCTTTTGATGCCTGGAGATGAGCTGAATAAAATGTACCCACAATTGAGAGCTGGCGGTCTAGTGGGGGAGGAGAGCGGAGAACCAACCATCCTGGTGTGATACTGTGTGGTTAAGTGACATGTAGAATACACTCTGAGAGCAGAGTGAAAGAAACATTCCTTTGGGTCTGGGGTCAGCTTCACAGAGATATAGAAGGTGAGTAGGTGGAGCAGAAAGAATTGCATAAGCAAAGGTCTGGAGACAAGAAAACAGGTATTTATTACTCTGCTTTGTAATCACCTGTTTGTTTGCCTGGAGTATGAGAGGGGACCATTTCTTTTTCAGCCCTGCAGCCACTATAGGTAGGCCTCAAAGATATTTACAGAATGGTGGTTATTTAGGAAGATGCCAGAATTTCAATGCGAACAGAGCACAGGGTCAGTGGAGGTGGAAGGATAGGACTGTGAAAAGCTTCATATAATTAAATGTGGAAGAGTTTGGACTTGGCTTATAGATCTAACCTTCTTGTCCTGGAGGTCGTGGCCTTTTGTTGTAGGAAATGGTGCGTATCCCCAGAAATTCTATGTGTGTATCTTTGGCTTTTATCCAAAGATATGGGTGTTGCAGTCCACCACTTGCAGCCTAATGGGCTGGGAGAGCTGAGGAAACTGAGGCCCTGAGAGCCAAAGACTGGCCTGAAGTCCACAGTGAGGAAGGAGAAAAAACTCAGGTCTCCCAGCTTCCTGGGCATTACTACATACCTGAAACCTCAAAAATGAGGATCCAGAAATCACACCGCTGAGACAGATCTCAGATCTCAGCAAAAACATGAGGTCAAGGTGCCCTCCAACTTCCCTTAAGCCCTAAAAGTGAAATCCCCATGTTTTCACTTGATAAGAAGAGGGCTACAAACAGAGGGAACGTGCACCAATTCCTATAAAAGGGTCTGTATACCTGCTTGCTCATGAAGTACATGTTGAAGCTCGTGAGCCATGTTCTTGCACCTCTCTATGAATGCACATTCAAGTGTGGGCAGGAACTTTCAAAGAGCCTCCCCTACTAGGAGTTAAAACAATAAAAATGGAGACTGGAAAGTACCCAGAGCCCAAATGAAGAAAGAATTCAAAATGATAAAAGTATCTTACTAAAAAAATCAATCATTACAGCTGAATACTTTTTGCAGTTAGTGGAGCAGGATTTTCCAAGCTGCAAATGTCAGCAGAAGCCCAAACCTCAAATCCTCTCCTAAATCAATTGCAGCGAGGCCAGCTCCCTGTTCCAGCAGGTCCCAGTGTGCCCAAGTGCATCTGCAGTCATAGATGCTTCTGGCTTTGCTCCCGCTGAGGCGTGAGCCCCAAGAGGCCTGAGTTATGTGAAATTTCTGCTTATTAGAGAGCACTTGACAGCTGATTCCTTAGAGTGCAGCACTATTTTGAACACTTACCTGCATAATTATCCAGAGGTCGGGCACTTGAAGACACCTTTATTAGGAAAGGGAAGTGCTTTAAATTATTTCCAAAAGTATCAATACCTTTTGATCAACTGAGCTGGAGGAGGTCAAAGATCTTCCAACTAAATAGTAAGGGCACTTACATAAGATAGTAAGTTACATAACAAAATATATAGCTCTAGGAAGAGAGAAGGTAATGAAAATTCCTATTTGGATTACTTGGGAGTTTTTGCTTACACTATTTTTAGGGGCACCTGGGTGCCTCAGTGGGTTAAGCATCTGACTCTTGCTTTTGGCTCAGGTCATGATCTCAGATCGAGCCCAGAGTGGACCTTCACAATAACAGCATGGAGCTCATTTGGGATTCTCTATCTCCCTCTCTCTCTGCCCCTCCCCTGCTGGTGCTCTCTCAAAATAAACATTTAAAAAATTATTTGTAAATATATCCATTTAAAATTCCAAATTTAGGGGCACCTGGGTGGCTCAGTTGGTTAAGCGTCCGACTTCGGCTCAGGTCATCATCTCACCGTTTCTGAGAGAGAGAGAAAGAGAGACAGCGTGAGCAGGGGAGAGTCAGAGAGAGGGGGAGGCACAGAATCTGAAACAGGCTCCAGGCTCGGAGCTAGCTGTCAGCACAGAGCCCGACGCGGGGCTCGAACCCACGAACCATAAGATCATGACCTGAGCCGAAGTCCGACGCTTAACCGACTGAGCCACCCAGGAGCCCCTTAAAATTTTTTTTTAATTCCAAATTTATTGAGCTGTTTTCACAAGGTCCGCCATCAGAATCTAAATTTCAATGTTCTTTCATCACTACTTTCAGATCAGCCAATCTCTTCCAGTCAGTGTCTCCCAATCATGTCTTGCACATTCCCCAGTGAGGCCAACCTTCAAATCACCTCTTTGCCTCTCTCAAGCACTTTCCCACCTACCAAGATCTCATCCTAGTTTTCACTGTCTACCCAATTTTCGGGGGATTTTTCCTCTAAACAATTTTATTCTATGCCTGCCTGTTTTGCCCAAGTAGGTTATAAAATATAGAAGGGCAGGAACCACCCATTGACTTCTTTTATTTCCTGCTATTCCAAAAATATTGCCTTGCTGAGAAGAAACTCATTAAACATGTGATTGATTGAAATTCAGTGCCTTCTGTGCTGTACTCATTTCAAATAATCCCTCTGAAGTTTACTGGTTCCTTGCAGAGTGAAAATTACCATCTAGGAAATCTCAAGTAGTGGAAATCTACCTACTGTGGATAATGAAATCTGAAATAAAAAGAGTACACATCTGTTTCTATGGTTTCTTAGGGACAGTGAGACAAGCTTAGATAATTTGAACAGGCATGTTATTTTATCTACTTCTAAAAAAGCCATTTCCGGCTGTGATAATTCCTAATAAGCTTTCATCCTGTCACCTATCAATATGTATTCTTTGCTCAGGCTCTTATCTTACTGTTTCTCAGAACGAGGGATGGATCATTGCTACTTTATTTTTTATTACTTATTTATTTTTTTTAATGTTTCTTTCTCGCTCTCTCAAAAAAATAAAAATAAAGGGCACCTGGGTGCCTCTGTTGAGCACCTGACTTCCGCTCAGGTCATGATCTCATGGTTTGTGAGTTGGAGCCCCACATTAGGCTCACTGCTGTCAGTCTGTCCGCACAGAGCCTGCTTCACATCCTCTATACCCCTCTCTCTGCCCCTCCCCAACTTGTGCTCTCCCCCACACAGTAAAATTAAATTAAATTAAAATTAAAACAATAAAATTAGCTCTCTCAGTTCCAGGATCTCCTACAATCCTATGACTTAGGCTCCTATTCTATGCTCTCTCAAAACCCAATGGTCCTTCCCTGCCTTCTCCCTCACAGAAGGTGTATTATATATAGCATGGTAATTAAGAGCATAGGATTTTAATAGGAGTTTGGCTACCGACTAACAATGGGCAAGGGGCTGAGGTGTCTGGCCTCAGTTTCTTATTTGGAAAAATTCAGATACCGTTACCTCTAACAGGGGTTGTGAGGGTTAACTTGGTGTCATATGCTAAGTGTTTAGCAATACTGTTCTTGCCAGCCTGTAAGAGTCCCATAAAAAGTACCTGCTCCTGTTATTGTTACCTGTTGACCTTCAGCAGCAGCACAAATAAAACCTTTGGTAGGAAGTCTCAAATTAAGAGTGTATACTTTATCTAGGAATGTGTCTGCCATAATATCATTTGATTCCAGGCTTAAAAAGCAAATGGTCAAATTAATTTTGGTGACAAAACAGATCTTGTATAAAGCTACATTTTGGTTGAAAGGGAGTACATATTGCCAAGAGTCCGTCAAAGGAAAGAATTAGTGGATCTGGGGTTCGTTCCAAGGTTTGAGTGTTGTGTAATTTCACAAGGAAGGAGGGCCCCAGGCAAAATTGCAGCCCTTAGCAAGCCTGAAGGTCACCACCACAAAGGCGGCCAGATGCCAGAGGAGCAAAAACAAGAGCTCCTCAATTACTACTAAAGAAGAGACCAAAGGAAAAATGAAGCTTGTAAGGAAACCAATCCAACATGCAACTTTGAAAATTTATCCATGCATAACTCTTTCCCAGTATAGACAGTATAAGACAGTGATATCAACTGTCCCTTTCAATAGGCAGTACTCTCTGCCTTCCAGAAGAAATATCCTAAAATGTGTTTTTCTTTCCAGCACTAATATGATGTGAAATTGGGAAAGGTGCATATATATTCTTTAGCTGATGCAAGCACATTTTAAAATTCATCCCGCCAAGATAAATCACTATTTATCTGAAACCCACAAACATGAATTAACTATCTCATGCGTTATGACTATGAAAACCCACATCTGCTAACCACATTCCTAATGAGCAGCAGCTGGTGACAGTTTTGTAGCTCTGTGACTTTCTTTTTAGGAAAATATTAGCAAGGACACACTAAGCAGAAGGTTAGTTTCATTGAATCCACTTAGTTACGGAAAATCACCAGTAGTTTTTGTTGTTGTTTTTTAATGTTTGAGAGAGAGAGAGAAAGAGAGCAAGCAGGGAAGGGGGAGAGAGAGAGGGAGAGAGAACCCCAAGCAGGCTCCTTGCTGTCTGCGCAGAGCCCAACACAGGGCTCTATTTTGTGAACCATGAGATCATGGTCTGAGCTGATATCGAGTCAGGTGCTTAACCAACTGAGCCACCCAGGTGCCCTGGAAAATCACCAGTATTTTTATATTGACAGTCATAGAAATTGCACAATTTGCCATGAAATTGAAATAAGTTCCCCAAATGAAAACCCCCTTTCCCTCAATACCAGTTCCAATAGAATTTGCAGAGCCTCACCATAAGTCTTGCAGTCACCTCTCTTCTTTCCTAGGTCACTGAGCCCCACATCATGTTTACTGATGCACAGGGCCTTGAT